AATAAAAAAGTCCTTATACATTTTAACCCTTATTTTAGCACCATTCTTTAAAAATTCATCTTTTCGAAAACTTATTTTCAATCAAACATTTTTTCATAAAATAATTTTGCACTTAAATTCATTTTTTCACTTTTTAATCACACGTTCTTCAAAAAAATTACTATTACAAAACTCATTTTTCATAAAAAAAATAAATAATATGGCTCAAATATAGCCTTAATTTAAATACATTGCCATAGACCTTGATGATGATGAAAGTAATTTGGGTTTTGATGGGTACCTCTACTGATCAAGATCAATAGGGAATGACAAATTGACTGTTTGGAATTAGGGAAAAAATTCTTCGTTGATGACGTATCTATAAAAGGTTTTTATCCCTCTTATGTTTTATCACTTACGTTATGTTATGATTGTTAATTAAGCAATTTTTATCCATTAGGAGATGATGGGCGAACGGAGTTTTGTACTGAAATTTAAAACTTTAAAATTGAAGCTCCAAACAGTGACTCAACTGAAGCAAATTAAAGTTCAGTGCCTCTGCAGTCAAAATTTACCCTATTTTGTTGAGGGTGGTTTATAATCAATTTAAATAATAAATAAATAGAAATAAGTTTGGGATTAGCGAATAATACTCGCGATCCTAATTTTATTCAATTTGGGAATTTCAATTCACAGAACGACAATAAAGCAATAATCAGAGCTCAAATGGGAAGCGATATGGAGGGAGATGATGAAGAAGAAGAATCGGCGGGCGAAATCTTGCGGGATCGATTCCGACTCAGCACAATCTCCATTGCCGAAGCCGAAGGTTTCAAAATTAGATATACGATTATTCACATACTTTTGTATCTACATTGTCGGTTTTTGATACAACTAAATTGATTTTTACTTTTATTTTTTGTTCAGGGAAGAAAAATGGAATGCAAATTTCTGAACCTATTGTGGCCTGCGTCTCGGATTTGGCCTTCAAATATGCCCGTAATTCTCTGCTCTCACCATTACTCTATATGTGCGCATTTATGTAATGCAAGATTATTATTTTTTTCAATTGTATTTTTTGTGCTTTTTCCATGGGATAGAATCGGTTAAGGAAATTGTTTTCTTTTGAAGTGATTTTAGGTTTGGGCCAATGTTTGTTTGAGCATTTCGTTGAAATCTACATTTGCCTTTCTTTTCTTTTCTTTTTTTTTTTTTTTAAATGCTTTCTCAGAATTTAGTGCCAAGTGCATTGCATTTCCTGATGGCCTTGTTTGTCACAATTCTTGAATAATTTTCCTGAAGATATTAGCTCTAATAAACGAAGAGTTTGCCATGAGAGATTCCCAGATGATAATGTCATATATAGCACCTCAAAAATTATGCCTCTTCATTGGATTTTTGGAAAAATCAACTGCATAATAATTAGTCACATAAGTTGAGAATCATTTTTAGATAGCAATTTCCTCACTAATATTTGATAATTCTTGATTTGCCCCTCAATTAATATTATCAGTAATAAATTCTCAATTCAACATTTGTGCTATATACATATTTTACTATTGGCCCACAATATACATGTCACCATTATATCATTCACGTTTCACCACCCATTCAACTTTAAGCCTATTCAGATAGCACAAATTGACAACGATAAACCTCTCCACCTCCACCATATTATTGTGTCATGTATCTCAATATATTTATCACAAAATTTTAAATACGTGCACAAAAAAAAAAAAAAAATCACATATTGATTACGTTGGATTACCTTGGGGAATTTATGGGCGAGGAAGTAGGAAGTCTACACTGCATAATCAAGAGGTTTAGAACTCACATTGCCTTTTTTGTATTTTTTTTATGCAATTAGCATTTTTGTGTTTTTTCTATTCAAATAATAATAGACTAAGAGCTTGTTTGATAGGGATTTTAATCTAATTAAAATTGAAAATATAGCCGTTATTGAGTTTCACCCGTCTAATAAAAGTCAACAATAACGGCTATTTTTTCAATTTTAATTTGATTTTAATCCCTCTCAAACAAGCTCTATATTTCTACATAAAAGGTAAAAAATTAAAAATAATGTTTAACGCACATTTGACTATGACTAGTTTTTTGAAATGTACAAATATACGGTGGAGAGAGATTTGTCTTATCATTGTATGGAATCTAAATGGGTTTGAAGTTGAATGATTGGTAAAATGTGCATATGTAATAGTCACATGTATATTGTAATTTAATTATATATGTGCACAAGAGTAAAAATATGTATATATACATAATTATTCGATTGAGAGTTCATTGAGATAATATTAATTGAGGGACTAATCAAGAATTATCAAGTGAGGGCTTTGATGTCCAAAAAAATGATTCTCAACTTATGTGACACTTAAAGCTTGTTAAGCACAGTATATTTCAATTGAAAAATGACTTTTTTTTTTTTTGGAGAATTTCTGGTTGAAAAGTGAGGAAAAGTTATTGGTCCTATAGAATGTGTGGTTGAAATGATTTTAGAAAAATCCGTGCCAAACAAGCCTGTATATTATAGGTTTACTTGCCATTCTCATGAATTGTAATGATTCATGTGTCATATAACATAAGGGCAATGGCATTTTTAAAGCCTTTCCCTATCTCTTTTTGATTTTTCAATAGTAAGTTTGCTTGGTTCAGCCATCTATCTTTAAAGAAAAAAATATGAATACTGAAGTTAGAAGCATTGTGTTTCTTGGGAGTGTTTGCTGAAGTGTAATTTATGCGTTATTCATAACCGAGACTACAACTGTTGTCTATCAAACTCCACTAACGACCCAAATTTTTAACTTTAAAATCATTATGCATATACCGTCAAGAATACTTTCGTAAACAAAAGAAAAAATAATATTTTCTTAAAATGCAAAGATTTAGAATTGGTTAAAGAAAAATACAATGAACATTACAAAAATCCTTAACTACGTAATTTATTCTTCCTTTTTCACCAACGCAAGCACAATCCACCTCCGACTGCCTCAAACCCGCCTTTTTAGTTACCTATAAAAGATTTAACATATACACGTGTGACATAAATCTCAATGAGTAATAATGAATTGCATCTTATATTTAAAAATACGAAAAATCATAACATACATATGGAGACACGAGAATTAAAATCCAAACTTCGTGGCTATAATTCCCATGCTTAGCGCTGCTAAACTCTGGTTCTTTGAACTTACACATATGAGACCCTTATCATAATTTGAATTTCCATATCTTGTATTCACAACATAAATTTCTGTTATTTAAATGTTGAAAGAACAATTCAATATAACACGTACGGAAGAATTTAATTTCTACAACTGATTGATAAATTTTGTATTTTTTTATGTCGTGTGTTTGACAAGCTTTCTTATATAACTTTGAAGAAATGCCCATATATGGCGAAAGTGATCAAGGAAGGAATTTCCTCGTATAACTTTCACCTATATGAAAATTTATTTAAAAATTGTCCATATATATATATATATATATATATATATNACCAAAAATTGAAATTCTAAAGAGTGCACATTGAGTCCTTTAACTATGGAAAGTTATCAATTTGGTCCCTTAGCTTTCATTGTCTTATGCCAAGTTATTAAATTTCAAAATTAATGACTATAAAGGAACTTTAGGGATATTATAATTTACCCCTCTTAAAATAAATTTTCGTCCTCAAAAATTACCTTGCATATCATTGTCAAACAATTGGGGATACTTAGATCGCATTTCATCTTTGCTTTTTCAAGTTGCTTCTTCAACTTAATGATGTTGCCATAACACTTTAACCGGCAATATTTCATTATTGTGAAACTTTTGTACCTTCTGAGCTATAATGTAAAGTGAAATTTCTTCACAAGTCAAGTCCCGCTAAATTTTCAAAAGTTGATGTTTTACTACTTGACTTGGATCGGGGATGTATTTCTTGGGTGTAGATACATGGAAGATGTCTTGTACTACAGAAAGCTCTGTTTGCAAAGCTAGTTGATAAGCTACATCCCCAACTCGTTTCAAAATGTCGAAAGGTCCGATGTACCTTGGTTGAAGTTTCCTTTCTTGCCAAATCGTAAGACACCTTTCATCGGTGTGAATTTAAAAATACTCAATCTCCAACAATAAATTCTAGTTTTTTCCGCATTCTATTTGAATAATTTTTCTGTCTGTCTTAGGCGATCTTCATATTGGTTTGAATCTTTTTGATAACTTGAACTGTTTATTCTATGATTTTCGATTCTAGTATTTTTTTCATTCACCAACTCTATCCTAGTGAACGGGGTGATGTGCACTTTCTACCATACAGGGTTCCATAAGTGCCATACCGAGAAGCATGATAGTTATTGTTGTAAGCAAACTCGATTAATGGTAAGTGCTTCTCCCAATGTCCTCCAACTCTAGGATACACATTCGAAACATATTCTCTAGTGTTTGAATTGTTCGCTCAGACTGTCTATCTGTTTGGGGGTAGAAAGTTGTACTAAATTTTAGTGTAGTTTCCATTGCCCGATGCAGACTTTTCCAAAAGTTCGTTGTAAACCTTGGGTCTCTGTCTGATACGATTGAAACTGGAATACCATGCAATCTCACCGCTTCATTAACATATAGTTGTGCGAATTGATCCATAGAAATTGTCATCTGAACAGGCAAGAAGTGAGCTGAACATAGAAATTGTCCTTGAGTAATTGATTTCACCTTTTCTTTTCCTAATAAATTGGAAGTGCATGTAAAGTATTCATTGCATCGCTTCATGTAGGAGTTTAAACTTCCGGCTGAAATAATCAATATCTATCCAGTTATTAAATAGACAAAGGAAAATACAAGATTCATATGGGGTTAACTACTCATGTCTTTTTCTTTTCAAGATCTGCAGGTTAATTTCTAGCATCATCTGTTCCAGTGGCTTCTTCTCTATGTATCTAGCCTAATCAACTTACCTACTTCACTTTCACTTAAGCGCTGGTTTTCTACAATTTTTGTTCCTGTAGCAAGAATTTGCAACTTAAGTATGAAATGATGATGTAATAACAGAGATTTAACATATTGCGACTCAAATTGTTGCTTGCTACTATATACTCTGCTGTTGAGTTTACCAGTTAGTTTTTTCACGTCATTTGTCATCGAAGTTTACTACATTTATGGACCTTAAAGTAAGGGTCAGTTAGTAGAATGTACCTATCTGCATTTGAAAGTATGTTGACGTGCTAACATGGTTTGGTCTATAGTATGTGTGTTGACTTTGATTGGAAATTAATTGGTTTAATTTATGAACTACTGTATTATTTCTTGAAATGCAGAGCAATTAGCAAAGGACCTTGAGTTATTCGCTCAGCATGCTGGTCGCAAGTCTGTGAATATGGAAGATGTCATACTTTCTGGTGAGATATAAAAACTCTTTCCATGGCATATGAGGGATCTCTTTTTTTTTTTTTTTGATAACAGTGGATGTCTAGATCAGCTTGCGCGTACCTCAACCAATCCCACGGGGCCCTGAAGTGGCATATGAGGGATCTATGCTGCTGAAATTATAAATTTAACATGATTTTCCTAGCTTGTCTGACCAGGCCTACATAGATTCTGAAACATGATGTTCTACTACCATAGCTTTTGGCTTACTGCTTTTCCATCTGATTTGTCCTTCTGTTGCATTGATTGATATGGCATATTATTACCATAGTTGATGAGAATCTTATACAGCCTTCTTAAATGATTTGTATATATAAACTTATCATGCTATATTCGCTTCATGCGCGTCCCTCGTGAATTTTGGCACATGAGAATGCTTAAATTTGTTTCAGCACATCGTAATGATCATCTGGCTGCCTCAATAAGGTCTGTATCAAATGATCTAAAAGCAAAGGAACCCCAGTCTGAGAGAAAAAGGAGGAAGAATACGAGAAAGGAAGATAAGTCTAATGCAGATGTACTCTACATTGCTGATCCATAACTCGAAAATTTGTGGACATGGCAGACTTCATGTTTCTGGTCAGATAATCATTTAAAGTTTATAAAGCCTTTTTCACCTTTATTTATGAACTTAATCACAAAACTGTAGCTACTCAGGATGTACCTATAGTTTTATTCCTTTTTGGGAGATGTAGTTCTTCTATATCATTTTCTATTAAATATCTCAATTCACAAAGTTTTTTTCAACCTCAGCAATATTAAGCTACTTACATTTGTTTCAGTTTATTGTAATCATTTGGCTGCCTTGTTGAAGTCCTGAATTATTTAGAGCAAAGGAAACTGTTCAGAAGAAGAATTTGAGAAAGAAATTCCGAAAGTTAATTTTATTCATTATCCTTTAGTCTTCATTGTTACCTTGATATTTCCGCTTCATCATCGTGTTTCCCGGAGAGGTACTGAGGTTTTTCACTATCTTTAGTTATTCTTAAATTGCAGTTCACATTATTCATAATGCCAACGGTAGTATTACTGATTTAATATGTATCGTGTTACTATCCTCAACTGCATTTTTTTTTTTTCGTTTGAAATTTTATCAGGGCAACGAGATGGTACGATGCAGGGTTAAGACAGTCTTTCCAGTCTCCCACCCTCGAGAGTTTCTAGAAGGGGGACGAGGTTTCCCATTTATTTGTTTATTTATCTACATTTTTAATATGATATGAATAAAAGAACATATAAAAATAAAAGTCAGGACAAAGACCACGACTAACTGTGGAATTCCTGCCCCCAATCGCTAGGCGGAACTAGGATGGTACATTTTGCCGTCGACATCCATAAATTCATTTATTATTAATTCTACACGTATTACAATTTTATATAATGAACCTCTCTATTGCTTTTATTAAACTTCTTTAGGGTGGATCTAGACTTTTTATATCGTGGGGTCAAAAATTAAAATTCTTCATATTGCAGCACTATTTGCATCCATAAAGTTTTTTTTTTTTAATGGAAGTTAGAGATTTCTCATCTAGAATACCGTTCGAGTGGGCGCCTTCAGGACGATTAAGCCTTTTAACACGTCGTTGACATATTTGATGACGTTTATGAGTCGTCTTTTAAACTGATTAGATTTTTATGAAATAAGTAACTTTAAGTTATGTTTGATAAAATAAATAACTCTATAGTAAATTTGTCTTTACTTTTAAACACGACTACATATGAAACACTAAGTAAAATGAATAACAAAAATTCTAACATGTCCTTCTCTTCTTAATGATATTAGCCGTGTTTAATTCATTTATGGAATATAATCTATTTTGATAACTATCTTACATCATGGTTAATGCATTTTTCTGAAAACTTCATGCTTTCCATGAGCTTAAAGCTTTGTGGTTTGATAATAGAGTTAAGGCATTAAGAAATTTTGTGTGGATATATATTATAGTCAAGTAATGATGTGAACTCACGTAGCAAAGAACTACGAAACCCACAAATAGATTGAAATCGAATCCAAGAAAGCCAAAGAACCAAAGTTTTGGATTTTATTCGAAAAATAACGAATCTAAATAACCAACAAAACATAATCGAATGTTGATCCTTTTGATTGATTATTTGGGAATCTCACCCAGTTGATTTGAACGCCACAAGAACTATTCTTTATAAGTTCGCAAAATATCCAACGAAGAACAATTGATTGAAAGCAAATTGCCTTGCAAAATAATTCTCAATAATGTGTTCTGTTCAAATATGAGAGATGGTCCACCCCGCCACATCAAAATCCAACCAGCCACCACCCAACCCAACTGGCCATGTCACCGACGCCGGTCACCACCCTAGACGACCCAACCTGTTTGGCCTCACGCCACAAATTTTTAGCCTTTTTCCCGAAAACTTAGCAGAGACACGCGATCCAAGATCTGATTCCGCTAGCTCCGAACATATCCCAGCCACACGCGCCTGCCCAGGGGGCCGTGCAGACTGTTCCGACTCCGGCAGTGGCGGCGCGTGCCAGATCCACCTTGCTGCGACAAGGCCATTCGGCGCATTGGTTTCATCATATAATGGCTCATTTGCGCAAAATCGTGGGAGACAGATGCAAACGGGGGGTTTAAAGGTGTTCAGGTCACAGTTTAGAGTTGAGGCAAAGGAGTTCGTAGTCTCTATTACGGAATCAGGCTCTGTTAAACTATCAGAATGGGGAACGAAGATATCAGGCGCTATTTGCATGGGCCGGTTTGGTGCCGTATGGATGGTGAATATGGTGGATAAGTTGAGGATGGCTGATAAGAAGGGTAATTTTGTCGCCAAGTTTAATGAGTCCTCTCAAGCTTTCTTGGCACAACGTTGTGCTAACAGTCGAGGTAGGTTTTTGATGATAGCACAGTATGGGGAGAGGCGTCGAAAGGAAGTTGTGATGGTGCCGGAAGGAGCCGATAGAGACGGATGGGTGTCCGTTTCACGGGTGTTTCAGGCAGTTGTTGACTCATTTGTTGCCGGAGATAAGATTAAACGTTAACTAAATGGAGAGAGGAGGTGATCGGGGATGACCTATGCCGATGTCACGGCAAGTGTGTGGGTACCACAAAAGGCTAATCAGCGGGAGTTGTTGGAAAATGAGAGGGCAGTGAATAAGGGGTTTGATCCTAACGCTGCATTAAGGGCTCGCATCCAGGCGTTGAAAGAAGAATTAGACGATTTGATTAAGATAGTGGAGAGTGGATCTACAGTGGGCTCCAGGATTACCCATTGTCATAAGTGTGCGGTGGGATTAGTTGATTCTCCTTCCAATGGAAAATGTAGCGACTTTGGATTCTGAGGAATTACCATCGGTAGGGGCTTAAATTATAGATAAACAGGGGGTGGATAAGCCAAGAGGTAAATCTCAGTTTCGGACTGAAGTGATGAATTCCTACGGTAATGGAAATAAGGTCGGGACGGAGGAAACAAATGGGGTTGAATTGGCTTCAGTGGTCGAGGTATATTGAGAGAAGGCACCTCGGGGTTGAGGTAGCGGAGCCGGGTACTATGAATCTGAATTCGGAGCTATTGGCATCCACATATTGTCCTACACTTGATGTGGATGCGTTGGATGCGATTCCATCTATTAAGGGACCATTGTTGGTTAGTGAGCAAGAAAACAAATCTATATTGGCATATAGTTCAGCGTTGGCATTCGAGAAACAACATGGGGCGATCGGTTCAGTAACTAAGGTTATGAATACCTACTGTAGGAGATATTCTAAGTCTCCGACGGAAGGGGATCCAAGGACTAAAAATGCTTTGGTTGTGTGGGTTGGAGGCGCTGAGAAGGGGGGATACAGACTGTGATGTTGTACGAGTGGAGGAAGAGGGGGGACGATGTCATGATCCTATGTATGCTGAGGAGATGGTGGAAGTTAGTGCACTGACGATAGACATCGACCGTCAAACTGGGTCCTTCAAAAAATTCTGAATTTCAGCAAGATGGTAGGTGTGTCATGTGATGGGTACGAAGATAGGCTTCTACAACTATTCGAGGAATTGGAGGCTAATAGGGGAGATGAATTGGGTACATCAAGAGGAAAGACAAGGAGAAAGAGGGATCGAGAGCTTAAACGTCTCGAATGCTCAGTAAATTATGATATCAGGGATGGAGAATCAAGGAGAGGTCACATGGGGAGGGATGACGAAATGTTTAGATGATTCCAAAAATAATTAGTTGGCATGTGAGGTGGCTTAATGAATTTGGGAAACGATTGGGTGTTCAGAATCTATTAAAGGGATGTAGGGCTGACCTTGTATGCCTACAAGAAACAAAGTTGGAGGTCGTTTCGAGGGAGGTGGTGTGTAGTCTTTGGGGGGGACAACATGTGGGATATCAGTTTGCAGGATCATCGGGGGCTTCAGGAGGAGTGCTAGTTATGTGGGACACCAGGGTTTTTGTTATGGAGGAGATATGTGAAGGGTTATTTTCTCTATCGCTTTCGTTTAGAAATATTGGGGATAACTTTCGNTCTATCGCTTTCGTTTAGAAATATTGGGGATAACTTTCGTTGGATGTTTATTGGAGTTTATGGGCCCAATGTGGATGAAAGTAGAGGTGGATTGTGGGATGAATTGACTGGGATGATGAATTGGTGGAACATCCCAACGTGTATTGGTGGCGATTTTAATGTAGTTCGATTTCCCACTGAGAGGTCCAGTGGGAGTAGATTAACAGGGGCTTTGGAGGATTTTTCAGGCTTTATCAGGGAAAATATGTTGGTGGACTTGCCTTTGATTGGGGGAATTTACTTGGTCATCCAATTGAGACCAACCGGTCCTATCCCGTATAGATCGGCTTTTGATTTGTCAAGAGTGGGAGGCTAAGTACCCAGAGGTCACGCAGAGGAGATTGGGGAGGTTGTATTCAGATCATTTTCCCATTTCGTTATCTGGGAATGCAAGACACAGTGGCAGAAGACCTTTTAGGTTTGAGAGGATGTGGCTAAAGGTAGAAGGTTTTGGGGAACGAGTACGGAATTGGTGGGCATCCTATGACTTCAGGGGGTCTCCTAGTTATGTGTTAGTGATGAGTGTTCTACACTCATGATATTTATGTCACTTAATTCGTTATTTTGTCGTTCTTGAGAGAGTTTTAGAGTGTTTTTATGTGTGTTTTGATGTTGTGATGTAGGTTGATGAGGTTGAAGAAAATAAACAAAAGTTGGAAAGGAAAGAACCAAGAACATTACGTTTCTTAGCTATTATTGAGAGAAAAGAAGATTTGCCTTTTGAAGTTGTACTGAAGATGGGAGAAGAAGACATATATTTATTGTTACCATATTTAAAATTTGTTTTTTTTTTTATTTTTTTTACGGGTCGCGGGTTAACCATGGCCCGTAGGGGTAAAACCCGCGAAGCCCGCGGGTTACACTTCTTTGGCCCGTGAACCGCCCGCACGGGTCACGGGTCGGCCCGCGGTCCCGGTTTTCATGGGTCTGGCCGGTTCGTCCGTCTTGACACCTCTAACTAGTACTAAGCATGTGCGTTGCACGTTTTATGCATTGGATCAATGACGCGCGTAATGTTTTAGATGTACTAATACTATTTTTAAAGTAGTTGAGGCAATTGATATTGTTAGGAAAACATGTTCATTTTGTGTACATAATAATGTAATTTGAATTGTGATAACATCTCAAAAAGAGTCTAAAAAATTATGTCAATTTGAGTCTCGAAATCAATGTTAGTGCCTAGACTTCTTGGTACAAACATGCTTAGATTATAATATAAGACAGGAGGAGAAAGAATGAACTAAAAAAAGGAAGGCTCATTTGACAGATCCGGGACATAAATTATCTAATGCTCGGAACGGGGCATTATACACTCTATATGAGTATAATTTAGTCTACAATGTAATGCTTTAGGGCCTAATTATTTTTAAAAAATAATGTTTTTTTTTTTTTTATTTGGACAAACATCAAAAATTGAAATTGAGGATGAACGGATATGATTCATTTACACAACTTGGATATCAAAACTGGAAAACTAGGAAAGGTAGAAAATGAATGAATTTTAAAGCAACATTGTTTCTGGATTCTCAATATATCCTATAAATGCCTTCAGCCATTCTGCACCAATTGATATGAATATAAAATCAGAGAAAAA